AGACAAATAAGTCATACCATGCATTTGAAATTCTACCAGAGATGAGGAAGCCAAAATACCACAAAAGATGCCATAGAAAAACTCCATGGCCTCGACATTCCAACAGGTAAATGAAAAACCCTAAAAATCACAGGAAAGCCATTCCATCGCAATTCTTCACAGGTTAAGCATGATACTACATACAGAAAATAGCATTACATTGAAAATTAGAAGAACCAATACAATTACGGATCGCAAGAACAGATACGAAATACACTTACAGAGCACCACAATCACGGATCGTAGATGGGAGGAGGAAGAGAAAGGCAACACACAGTCGATAGAGACGTGTCAGACGCGTGAGAGAGGGGGGATAAGGGCGGAGAAGAGGATCGAAGACACCTAGGGCACGGGAGGGGCAAGCGATGACGGGGGCGGGTAAGTAATGTTTAACTCAAAAAGTTGGGCACGGGGTCGAATCCACGACCGACGTATAATATTATAAAAGTCGCGCTTATCGCCAAATGCCCGCAGAACGCGATAACCAAAATCATCGCCCGCGTTTTCAAAACGGAAAATTAAGAAAAACTCTGCGCCAAACAACCACTTAGTATTAGAGCAAGCCAAACTCAAGTCCTATCATAGGGTTAACAAAATCTCACATACCCTAGGTTGAATTTTCCAAATAGCAGGCCAAAAATTTTTCTTTCCCACTCAACGTTACCTCGTACACCCTTTTCCACCTACCCAAACCCTAACCACATCACAGAGGAGATAATTGTCAGAAACCTGATCAGGAGGAAATTACATGATGCTACTTAATGAAAAATCCACAAAGAGATGTCCAAGAACAATATAAGGAAGTCCTCCAACTACAATAGAGGCTCACTGCCTTCAAGCGAAGACCATCCAGAGGGGGTCACACAAAGTTCATTCGATTCAAGAGATAAAAAACCACTACCCCAAAAAATTTGGCATGAAATATTGGAGAAACCAAGATTTTGAAATAAATGAAGATTTGTCATATTTTGAAGACCACATGGATCCGGATGAATTCATCAAGTGGCTTTAGACATTATAACATGTCTTTGAATATTAGGACGACCTACACTATGGAATGATAAAACTAGCCGCCAGCAAGGAATAGAGCATCTTCGTAGTGAGAAAACTTGAGCCTTTTACGAATGAGTAAAATCAATACATGGTCAAAGATAAAGGAGATGTAGTACTAGTACATACTAGTTCATTGCAAACAAGATGCTCAATCCTAGGTTCAAAAGTAGAGAGTCAACATCATCGCAAGCTTGCCGCATCTTATAGACAAAGTTAAACCCCAATATTAAGAAGTCATAGTATACGTAGGAGAACATCCAAGCCGACCCAGTCTGAGGAGAAATTAATTCAGAGAGACGAATAGGTGGGAGCCAATTCGCATTCCTAGATTCGTCTTAGATAAGAAGTGTTTCACGTGTCATGGATTTAGGCATATTAAATCAGATTGCCCAACCAAAAGAATGAACACTTTCGCTAATTAGGGAATGGTTGAAGAAATGAGCAATGACACAGTAGACACTAGAGAAAGTGATGACACGATGGAGCATCAAAATTCAACTGATGATGAAGAAAAAACATGTTCAAGCCGAGGCCATGAGAGAGACGCTAATATAATTAACATCAGTGATCCAAGATGGTCCTAAGTGTGAGGAACCGACAGAAGGCACCTAGCAATCCCACAAATAAGAATTTCAGACTTTTCATTAATATAGTCTACTTCATGAGTTGTCCCTACTAAGGGAGGTTCGTCATGTCAGAGAAGAGGCTCTTGTGTGCCATTTATGGAACACTATATGAAATCATTTGAGTATGAAAATCAATTCACCAGTGTACCCACTAATAGATGATCAGATGGGATTGATGAACCGCAATGATGGCAATCCTCTTAAAATCTTTGTTGGAAAGAACATCCTACAGTGGAATCGAGGTCCTTTAAGAGAAGAAGAATAGGTCTCTATTGAGTGGTTAAACTTTAGTGTAGTCCAACTTATAGATTTGTTTCCAAAGTTGAATCCACTTGACAGACTTATTATCAAATATATTTAATCAAACAAGAGGAGTGGAAGAAACAAATTATAGATTTAATGGCCCAAGTGTTACTTTGTGAGAATTTACATTTATATGTACCTTTAACTCAGATTATGTAAAAAGAAGATGGATATTTACTTTATTGGGATATGCTTTGGAATGATGACGCTTACTAGAGACTTATCGGGAAAGTACAATATTTTGTTACATTCAATGCGGTTGACTTGACGTTATACTATGAGGAAATAGAAGCTTCGACGGATAAGGTCGAAGCTTCGACGAATGACATCAAAGCTCCCCACAACCTCAGAAGATCAACATCAAAAGGATGGGGATTAAGTCTCCACATGCAGATTCAGGATCGCATTTCATTGGGAGGCGGAGTCGCACCTAGGCGCACTTAGACGGTCTGGTCCAGGTGTCCGTGAGAGAGCTAGTTGTTCCTGTTAGGTTTAGCGCCTTTTTTCAACAGTGGGGCGGCACAGTTATCTTGGGCTTATATGTTCTTCATGTTTCAGGTTTTCAGATTTTTGGTGAGTTTATGTCGAGATAACTGTTGACGTCACTCTTCTGCCTTTAAGGGTTGTATTTGAGGGTTTGAGTGGTGCTTCCATTGTATCTCTGTCCTGATGTGATGATTATCTTCTTTATCCCCTTCTGCATCATCCTCAAGTCGCTCCAAGCAGCCCTCCATTGCTACAGCCGCCTTGGAGCAACAGTTTTTGTTGTTTTTCACCACAATATGCCAATTTCAGTCGCCTGTCCTCGCTATTTCCACCTTGGATAGCCGTCCTTTTGTTGTCTTATAGTCCCTGCATCTCTTAGTCCCTGCATCTCCCTGTTGTTGCCATCGTCATTCCCCTTCACTGTCGTCACCGTAAATAGCAATTTTTTGTTTTTCACCTGCAGTTACAACGTCCAACCACCCAATTCCCTCATTCCAGTTTGTTGTCATTGCTGCAACTCCCCTCCTTCACTGTCACAATCCTCCTTCCTTGTCGTCGAAGCCTTACAACCCCTCCCTGCCACTTCCCCATCGACCTGCACCCTCTTTCTCGTTGCCCCCTCCCAGGACAGCAACCACACTAGTCGTTTTTGCAAATTCACACCCCCATCCCATCTCCATTACCCCCACACTCCTTCCAGCCCTTCCGCCACCCTTGCTACCTCTCTGGAGTACCAAACCCTTGCAGACCACCTACACTGGCCCGAGGACCACCCTAGTAGGAGTGTTTGATTTGAGGAATAATGGTTAAAGAAGCTCCTTGCATGCAATCTCATAATTTGTGGAGAATAATTTGTGAGCTCATAAATTAATCTCCACAAATTATAGATAGATTGTCCCCCTACATGCCACCTCATCTATCATGTACTCATGAATGACACCTCAGTAATCTAGGTGTGAGAATTTATAACTTATTACATAGCTAAAGTTTTTCTCATAATTATACGAACTTACTATTATATAATTGTATGTACTTTTTCACATAACTTATTATATAGCAAAATTTTTTCTCGTAATTGTATGTACTTACTACTATATAATCCTTCTAGTTTTGTATAAATATAAGAAAAAGAATTAAATAAAACTAAAGCATCATACTCTATTCTATTTGTAAAAAATGTAAACTTCCTATAATCCATTTCACTCTTGAAAAAATCAACGCATCTATTGTGAGTAATAATTGTTTATTATGGAGCTACTAGGTTAGATATAAAAGGGGGTATTGCATTCTAAATACATAAATTTTGAAATTTTTGGTGTTTGATTTGAGGAAAAAGGAGTGCAACATAAAATTGCAAAGAAATTAAAATGCATCCTTTGATTTGTTTTAATGCATTTCAAATTCGTCGGATTTGGATGTTTTAATTTTTAATTACCCTCCAGACTGCAGTCATTGGCGGCTCCACTGCAAACATTGAGACCGCACCTTGCTTGCCATCGATAGCCACTAGTTGTTGACCTCTGCTTGTTGCTGCTGCCGCACACCCCCTATAATTCATTTCACTCTTGAAGAAATCATCGCATCTATTATGAATAATAATTGTTTATTATGGAGCTACTGGGTTAGATATAAAAGGGGGTATTGCATGCCAAATGCATAAATTTTGAAATTTTAGGTGTTTGATTTGAGGAAAAATGAATGCAGCATAGAATTGCAAAGAATTTCAAATGCATCCTTTGATTTGTTTTAACGTATTTCAAATTTGTCAGATTTGGTTGATTTTTAATTACACTCCAGACTGCAGTCATTGGCGGCTCCACTGCAAACATTGTGACCGCACCCTGCTTGTCATCGATAGCCACTAGTTGCTGACCCCTGCTTGTCTCTGACCCTGAAATTCATCGATAGCCACTAGTTGCCCCCCCCCCCGGCTCAAAGAATAATATTTTTTTTGCTATATAATACAGTTAGTTTTCACTGTATTTATTTTACATTGCATTCCTCTTTTCTGTAAACCAAACAATATCTAAGGCTGTTTGGCTTGAGAGATTTGTAACAAGAGAAAAAGACAGAAATGGTAAAGGAATTTAATTGAAAATTAATTTTCACCCACATGTTTGTTTGATGGGAAATTAAGAGGAAAAATAAGTATTTTTATTTCTAGTTTTGTTGATTAGAAATTGAGGTTATGTTTCTTGTGACAGTGATCACCCAATTATTTTTTTTCTTGCCACTTTTCACTGGGGTTGGATGGCAATTTGTCACGGAAAAAAAAAAGTTTAGTTTTCTTGGCACATTCAATCAACTTTGAATTACAATGGAACCCACATTCAATCAACTTTGAATTACAATCTAACCACACATCAAATATGAAATTGTGAAAGAAAATGCAATTTCATTCTTCTAATTCTTTCAAAGCAAACACGTTCCATACGATCAAGAATGCTCAAAAAACTCGCACAGCTTATATTACAATTTCTCTATGTTGCTTACCGGGTTTAAGGAGTTGGATAGTACAAACGAAGCCAGACTATATTCAGAAATGCATACAGCAAGATCTTCATCAAGGAGAATACTGGAAGGCTCCAGACTTCTAAGTATGAGAGGAGGTTTGCAGAACTCATGTAGGTACCTTCAACGAAAAATGAAATACATTCACCACAAGCTCCTAAAATTTAAAACAGTGAAGTTTTATTAAAAAAACATACTCCACCGTTTTGGCAGCCTCAAGTGCAATTTGAATTCGAGAATTCCATGATATTCTCTTCTTATAAAAATCATAAAGCAAATCATGAAGGGTAGTTCTGCTAAAATATTTGAAAATAAGCAGCCTCTGTCCAAATTGAGAACAATAACCCACAAGCTCAATGATGTTTGGATGTTGAAGCTTTGAAATGCGTGACACTAAGTCATGAAAGTCATCAGCAATTACGTTTAAGGCCGGATTATTAAATTTCAGAACTGTTAATAGCTGGAAAAGAAGCATTGTTGGTCAAATCAAGCAATTAAACATCCTAAAAATGTCAATAGGGACAAATTAAGCCATAGTGAAAAACAATGAAGAAAAGAAAATATTTGTTTTAGGAAAACAGTCTATGCTCACACATGCGTTAAAGATGATAAAACAAGTTGTTTTCCAGATAAAGTTAACATATTAGGGCAGAGGAATTAAATTAAAAAAAAAAAGCAAACAGATTTGATCATGCTATAAAAATTGCTCAATTGTTGAAAGCATTACCCTTGTATTCTCTCCACTAATCAAATACTATATCTGTCAAAGTTTTGACAAAAATAGACTGAATACTGAATAGGTTCGATGCCTTTTCCCCTTTTCTTTCATTCCATTAAAAAACAATCTTACAATCTATTTAAGGTATAAAATAAAGTGCATATAATCTATTTTAGGTAACTTAATAATACATACATATTCTTAATAATACATATTCCTAATATAAATATTCAGCTAAAAGGGAAATATATCAAAATAAAGATATTGGAAATGAGGAAGTTTCTAATTATAGAAAACTCGTAATTTAGTTGTCTGATTTCCATCCTTCCTGATTGACATCCCCCTCAAATTGATGTTGACTGATCAGAAAACATCAATTTGCCAACAAGAAGCTGATAACATTGTGAGGACAAAAAATCCTCAAACTGTGAGTGTCGAAGCCAGAAAATACCGAAGCCCAAAAGTGTCGAAGCCAAAATTTTGTCGAAGCCTAAGAATGCCGAAGCATGAAAGTGTCGAAGCCTGAAAGTGTCGAAGCCTACGAATGTCGTTGCCTCAAAGTGCTAAAGCCTGAAAATACCGAAGCCCGAGAGTGTCGAAGCCTCAGAGTGTCTAAGCCAAAAAATGTGAAAGCCCAAAAGTGTCAAAGCCCAAAAGTGCCGAAGCCCAAAAAAACTGAAGCCTGAAAATGCCGAAGTCTGAGAGTGTCGAAGCCTCACAATGTAGAAGCCTAAAAGTGTCGAAGCCCAAGAGTGTCGAAGCCCGAGAGGCCGAAGCTGAGATTGCCGAAGCTCAAAAGTGCCAGAGCCCAAGAGGTTGAAGCCTTAGAGTGCCTTTTTTTCCTTTTTTTTTATTTCCAAAATAAAGGAAAAATATCATCTTGATACAAAAATACATAAACATTTCCCAAGCAGGAAAGATTTCACATTCAATACAAAACTAACCCAAGACTGGCGAGGAAGAAATCGTCAAAGATCGAAGGGGGATGACGCAACCGAAGCGAACGAAGAGGAACGAAGCAGCCAGGGACGAAGCGAATGAAGCGACCGAAGCAATTGGGACAAAGCAGACCGAGACGAAGCAGCCGAAATGATAGGAGGCTAGGTGCATCAGTTCCATTTGTGATGTCGGTCAGCGTAGGAGCCACCTTTGCGGAAGTAATTTTGCCTGCATTGAGCGGTAGGAGGGGAGGCGTGACGAATTCCGGCCTGAAGCGCTGCTTTCCGTTCTTAAGCTAGGTGTTTTGTCAGATGAGCGAATCAAGACAAGAAATAGTTCCTCCCTTCTAACAAGAAGGTCACGGTCCTCCATCGACTACCGGTGGTTAGGGCAAAAATTTGGCTCTGATACAATATCAAAATTTTGACAAAAATAGACTGAATGTTGAATAAGCTCGATGCTTTTTATTATTGCTTTCATTCCATTAAATAACAATCTTACAATCTATTTTAGGTACAAAATAAAATGCATATAATCTATTTTGGGTAACTTAATAATACATATTCCAAATCTAAATATTCAGCTAAAAGAGGAATATATCAGAATAAAAATATTGAAAATAAGAAAGCTTCTAATTATAGAAAACTCTTAATTTAGCTGTCTGATTTCCATCCTTCCTGATTGACAATATCATGCTTTGAATGCCTTGTTTTTTATTCACTTTCAAAAGTCAAGTTTAAACTGACAAGCTCCTACTCCGAGTTCTCAAGGAATTAATCATCACATGCAACATGATATACACAAAATTTCCCTAGATTTAATTACAAAAGCAGATTAATAATAATAATAATAATAATAAAATTCTTTTATCGTCATTAATATTATACATTAAGCCATTGTACTCTCCCAGATTCCTAAGGTTCTTCTAGCTCATGATCTTAAAACTAAATATTACCTAGATCTCAGAATGAAAGTTTGATCTATAACTGGCTTAGTGCCTTCTTCCTAGTGTCATACTTTCACTTAATAATATATTTTGAATAGATTTCTATCCTTTGAAAAAATTATTTAGACATTCATAAAGATGCTCTAATAAAAAATTACAAAACCCCCCAATCTATGCAAATTAAAAAAACTTGTAATTTGGAAGACTTAAAAGGAAATTATTAAAAATAAAATACAAACAAATGCAAACAGGAGATACCTTGCCATCAGACAACTCAGCCATATACACGCTTCCCAGAAAAGTGCTTTTGATCAGACGTTCTTCTCCAAAATAATTGGTATATTGCTGAAGTGATGCAATAGAAAACGATGTTATGGAAGCTGGGGGAGTACAATTTCCTTTTTGAGGCCTTCCTTTCTCAAAACAAAGATAACTTTCTGATTTCTCTAATGAAGCAATGTGTTTTGGAAAACCTTTTTCAGCCATAATTGGCCTCAAACCTGCAGGAGCTTCAATCATATGAGCTTCATGTTACTTCTGTTTCCCAAGGGTATTCCCACATATTAGCAGAAAATATTCCAGAACCCAAAAGATAATAATAATAAATAAATAAACAGCAAGGTTGAGTAATTAAAATTAGTGTGACGAAGAGAAACCTAAACTTACATTCTTCTTTATTGCAATTTGTTGAAGGCAAATCAGTGGTGCCTAAATGCGCCATGGTTATTTTAGGCGCCCCTTTTTTATGACTCTTGGGAAAACACTCACATTTAAGGCGTCTTTCCCGCAGCTTCAATGCACAAAATAGAGCCAGGAGAACAGCAATTATAACCATTACCGCAACAGCAGCATACGCAATGGAAATCATAGTTGATTTTTTTCTAACAGTCGAACTTGTTCCACTATGGCGGGTGGGGGTACGATGGCGAGTGGGTGCATCAAAAGGAAAAGGAGAAGGAACAGGTGCAACTAAGGAAGATAATGCCTGAGTTGGAGCCGCTGATGGTGCCACAGTTGTATTAAAAGGATTTCCATTTGATCTGTAAATCAGATTAATTTAATTCTGAAACAATCCTATAAAATCTACATAATCACAAAAAACTAGACAGCAAAATCCTTATTTCTTACTTGAAATTTGGAATGTTCCAGAGCTTCTCTGGAACAGGTCCGGAAAACAGATTATTCTCAATGTCCCTATTTAATAGAAAAAAAGAAGCATTTTTGTAACAAATTTTTGAAAAGTGGTGATTAAAAGCTTAAAAAGAAAGAAGTTTAAGATTGAACCAAAAATGGATAAAAAATAAGCAGAAGAAATACAAATCTATGAGAGGTAGATCTTGCAAAACATCAAGGATTCCAGAGATATGATTATCCTGAATATGTCTGCATACAGAAAAAAACAATCAATCTTTTTTAATCTAAAGGAAAAGGAAAGAGAAAAAAAAAATTAAAGCATTGAGGAGCTTACAAGGTGGTAAGCGATGATAAGCTGGTGAATGAGGGTGGCAATGGACCACTCAAATTGTTAGAAGAAACATCCCTGAGTTGTTACACCAAGTTGCAATGATGGAAACTATGATTAAAAAAAAGAGGGAAAAATAACTTGGAATTGAACAAGGAATAATAAGAATAAAATGTTAGGGATTTACAAGTTCACAAGACCAGCAAGTGACTGGAAAGAATCTGGCAGTTCTCCGTTTAACAAATTTTCATTAAACGACCTGAAAACGGAGTAGTGTATTACTAGATAGTAAATTATTATCAAGAGCTGGCATAACAATGTTAAAGGACTAGCCTAAATAATGGTGGAGAATTACACGTCAGAAAGAAGAGTTAAATTTTCCAAAGACCTTGGGATCCTTCCAGTGAGTTGGTTGGATGACAGAAAACTAACAGAATTTAAGAATTGTCATTAACACAGCTAACATCAATATAAAAATGGACTCATCATAAGCTGCAAACTTGTGCAATTGAATAACAAATGAACCATACAGTTGCCTTAAAGTAAGAGGCAAATTCTTCGGAATGGTTCCACCGATATGATTATTGCTAAGATCTCTGCAACAAAATGAAATATAAAATGAAAGGTGCACAAATTTTAGAAAAATGAAGGGCCTCTATATAAGTGTGAATTTGCAAGCTTGATCAATTCCAATGCAGCAAAGAAAGAAAATTATCTAGTCTCGACACTTACAATGTAATAATAGAAGTAAAATTTCCAAGTTTATCACCTAATTCTCCTCCTAGATTTGCATCATTGATAACGCTGTCAGAAAGAAAAAAGCAATAATCATTGCAGGTTCAAACATGATGCAGGAGTGTCAGCAAAAATAAAAGAAAGCCACTTTACATTGCAGTTATATTTGGCCCGACACATTGGACGCCTTGCCATCCTTGAAGGCAAGGGTCTCCTCCAAAAGGGGTCCATCCTGGAAGAAGGGGATACCCAAGTGCTGTGTGCAGGCTACTAATAGCATAAACTGAAAATAAAGTGGTATAAATATTAGTTGAGATATGTCATTTTCTAGTCCCCTTACCACATAAGATATTCCAAAGGTTCACTTCTCCAGAACATTTGAAATTGAAGAAAAAATGAATCATGACTACGTAAGTTGATGCAAAAACAACCATCTAATTAAAATATGTCTTCACTAAATGCCTTATAAGAGTCCTATGAGCTAAGACAATACCATTGGGATTTGAAGGAATACATTCTAAAACTATAATCAAAACATCTATTCTTTATGAACATGAATGCAACAACAAAGAGGTCAATTATAGTCAAGTTGAGCGTGTTAGAAATGATGATGTTAAGATGTATTTGAACACACACATAACAGAGGTTTCAGATGCACCAACATGCCAGTAGAATTCAATTAATGAGTGATTATTCGAAGAAAAATGTCGTCAAAGATAGTATTATTAATAATTCATCCAGTACTAAGCAGAAATTAATGCAAAAGGATTCATGAAGCAACCCCAAATAGTTGGGACAAGACTAGCGACGACAATGATATTAAGTTATAAAAATAACAAAATAGCTAAAAAGAAAGTGAACATAGTCACCAAAAATGTAATAAGTGCATGCAGACAGCTGAAACAAAACAAAGCTCAGTACACAAAACATAAAGACTAAGCACCTTAGTCAACATTCCAAACGAAAGATAAAAGACTAGACAAGCCATGAAAGGCAGTTCCATAGAAGAACAACAAACACATTGAATGTAGGACAATCCCATTTAAAAGCATCAGATGATTGCAACTTGATAAGAGAAGGTGAGAAAGTATAAAATTCTATGTATAAGCCATCTTCGACCAGCTTAAAATCACAGTGATTGACATATTGAGTTGATAAAATGTGAACAACATATCACTATTGTGGCATATTACTCCCCCACCTGCAGCGTTTTAACTATGTTAAACGTGCTTAATAGAAGAAAGCATCATAATCCAACCACTCTTTTCTGCATAATGTAGAATCATTATGAATATATGATTGCTTAAAAATCAATTTGTGAGAAGCCATAACAATAAATGATTTACAAACTTACAAACTAAGTCGATATACAAATGCAAGCGTTATACAAAATAAGGATGAGAAAGTTCTCAAAAAGTTATTATTACATAAAACATTAACCCAAAAAAAACAAATAAATATCAATTTATCTTTACAGCAAAATATCACTTTCAAGTAAAATGGATCTAGAAAACAATAAATAGATGCACACATAGAGTAAGTTACCATCTTCTTCACATGTGTATCCCCAAGAGAATGGGATCGCAACAACCATGACCAAGCTAAGAGCAAAAAATGATATCAACTTTAGTATCAAGTCATCCATCTTCAAAGACTTCCGTGTATATCAGGCCAGTAGATATACCTATTCAGTGTTTTATAAATTAAAGAAAAAAATTCAAATTAATGGCAGATATCACTAAGACTAAAGTCTATTCATAAAATAGTAGAGAAAGTCAAATATTAAAGAAATAAAAGATAGTTAAACTTTAACCAAGTGCTCATATGGTAATAGTTTTAATTACTTTGTGGAAATAAATGGCTGTCCTAAACAAGTGCATTCGAGTGAGAAAAAAATATCCAGCTATTTTTGAGAATATTTGCTTTTAAAATAAAATTGTGAAACAAAATTTTGAAACTGCTCCAGTTTTCTGACAACAGCTCCCAACAACTTTACAAGAAATAGAAGCACAATGTGAAAGAGCCCTGAAAGCTGACAATAAATTATATCGTCTAAACATGTCACAAACAACAAGAAGGAAGACGAGAAATTGAAGGATCAAGATATATCAAACCAAGTATTCCAAAACAGCATAAATGGCATTCGATCTTAATTCATTTTGAGAAAAAAGAAAATTTGAGTTAGGCAATCAACAAAATAACAGCTATTTTGTTGTTCTTAGACTTCTTTTAAAAGGATCTCATTTTGAGAAAAAAGAAAATTTGAGTTAGGCAATCAACAAAATAACAGCTATTTTGTTGTTCTTAGACTTCTTTTAAAAGGATCAAAAAAAAAAAAACAAAGAACAAGATAATTAATTAGAACTCCTGCCAGAGGGCCTGTTCAAATTCCTCCAAACAGTCCATTCTTCAGGCAATCTTTTATAGCCATAGTAACGGGATCACTAAAATACTATATTCTTACAAAATGACTAAATTAATCAATAATCTTATTCCAACAGATTAGATAAAAACATATGAATCATACATCTTTAAACAGCAATCTTTCTCCTTAAAATTAATCAACAATTTTCCTTTGTATTTTAATTGCTTAGCTTATAATGCTTAAAATGGAGCGTGAATTATACCAGAGTTAACCCAAATAATCAATAGCAAAACAAATGTTATTACTGATAGCAAATATGAGATTACAACCCAAACACACTTGAAAATGAAAAGGAAAAAAAGACAACAGATAAGGCACAGATGCCCACAAAGTGGATCTCAAGTGGTGGTGGTGGTCGTTAGGGGCTTGGGAAGGTGGAGGCAAGATAGAGGGGGGGCTGGATTTTGGGGAAACAATGTCACAATAATGGTGGCTCGCTGTTCTGGGCGGCAGAGAGCAGGAAAGAGCGGAAAAAGCAAGAGGAAAGCAAGACAAGAGGCGGCTGTGAGGGTTGACAGCTGGTAGTAATGGCTGGGACAGCAGGAACAAATGATAAAGGCAACTAGGGATGCAGGTACAAGTAAGTAGAGCACCCATAGCAGCACGGGATAGCAGCAGCAAGCAAAAATGTGGACGGCAGTGGCTGAAACATGCAGGGAAATAGCAGCACGCAGCTGTTCGGGGCAACTGCAATAGTGGAGGGCTGCCAGAAGCGATGTGAGGAAAATGCGGAAGAGAATAGAAAAGATAACCATCACCTTGAGAGTGAGATACAACCAGAGCACCGCCCAAACCCTCGAATATAGCCCTTACAAGAAATAAAGATATTCCGGCAACGGTCTCGAACAAAATTGACAACAAAAACTGCCATAAGAACACATAAATAACTTATTTATAGACTTAGGGTTAATAAAAGTGGACCCCCTCCACATTGGAGGAGAATCCACGTAAAAGAAGGGTTCAGCCACACCCACCAGTAGTAATTCATGATACTGTAACATGGATCGCAAAAACGCCCACTGGAAGAAGCTCATGTGTCAACCTCCCAGGGTTAGAGGAGCTTCGACCTCATAAATCGAAACTTTAGACTCCTCATAGTATAGTGTTTGATCAGTCATGTTGAAAGTGGTAGAGCTACTGTAACTTCCTAGTAAGTCATTCATAAAAAGATTATCATTCAAAAGCACATCTTGGCAGATAAAATATCCGTCCATTTTGAGCACAATTTGAGTTGGAGTTGTATGGTGACGTAGACTCTCAAAAGTTAAACTCAGAAAAAGTAAATCTATAATATGCTTCTCCCACTCTTCATACTCGATTTTGTGTATCCGATAAACAACTATGTGATAAGCACTAAATTTCAGGATGAAATTTGTGGCAGGCTGAGCCACTATTAAGAGCAAATACTCAAGAAAAACATCTTCTCTCATTAGACTTAGATCACATTAAGGAGTTTTCTTCCCCAACAAGTTCCTAAGATAATTTTCAAAGCTATGGTTCATCTATCAGGTTTGGTCATCGGTTGGTGGGTACAATACTGAACTAAATCTAATATTTTAATAACTGCATATAATCTTCTAGAAGTAGCTTAAAAGCTCCTTATCTTTGAAATGTTGGGTCTCCCTCAGTGAGGGCAACTAAAGAGGTAGGCTATGTATCTGAGAATCCTAAAATCCACTTATTTGAGGTTGTCTAGTGTTTAGTATTGGCTCCTTAAACCCATGGCTCAATTGGACATCCAATGTCAGTCTTGTTGATGCTTCCCTCAAAGTTTATGCAGGCATCTCAATTTCATACTCTACATGAGTAACCATTACTTCAAACTCACTACCTTCAAGAACAACTACTATTAAATCAATTGGAGTCACTCTCATGGGGTCAGCTAAAATCGCTATTGTCTCTTGTTCATTGGATGGCAGTTGAGATCCTCTTTAAAGTCTTCATCTTCTCCAATATCACTATCTATTTATTCAGCTGTTCTCTAATTACTGAAAGAGATCATTCTCTTGATTGTGCAATTGGATTCAATATGTCTGAATCTATGGCATTTGAAAGACTTCCAGGCTAAGATAAATTTAGGATTGATGATTGGCTCCACCTATTCTCTACTCATAATTAGTTTCTACTAAAGTGATGTCAGCTTGGATACTCCACTGGTTGTACTCTTGTTGTTCGATCCTGAAGTTGAACAGTCCGTGAGATGAGGTGGTCATCTAGTAATGTTGTCTACCCACTTTTAAAGCTACGATCTACACATCCTATCTTTAATAAACTGCCAGGTTTTGGTGTTGCATCTCTCATTTCATCATAGATGAGATAGTGATCTTGTATTTTTCCTCACGCTGGTGTATGTGCTTCAAATTTTTCCACCAAAATAATACAACTCTTCTTTAACTTGCTAGCAACTAAATTCACCATTATGTCTGATGGGACACCTTGTTACTCAAAAAAAAATTTCACAGCCTTGAGCAACTCAATGAACTCATCCGGATCTAAGTGGCCTTTAAAATGTAACAAATTCACCTTTACTTCAAAATTTTGGCTTCTCAAATACTTTAGGTGAAGTTTTCTGGGTGGAGGTTCTTCATCCCTTACATTCGTATGGTGGAAGAGATTCACTTCATTAATTCGATCTAACAAGTCATTATTGAGCCTACAAGTGTACAATTTCATTCAGCTGCTCTCTGATCAGTGAAAGAAATAATTCTCTTGATTGTGCAATTTGATTTAATATGCTCAAATTTGTGGTACTTGAAATACTTTCTGGCTAGAAAAATTTTAGGAATGATGGTTGACTCTACCTATTCACCGCTCAAAATTAGTTTCTCCTCAGGCGAAGTTGGCTTGGATACTCAACTGGTTGTACTCTTGTTATTCAATCCTGGAGTTGAACTCTGTCTATGAGATGTGGTGGTCATCAAGTAATGTTTTCTATCCATTTTTGAAGCTAGGAACTACACATCGTATCTTAAATGAACTAGTAGATGTCGGTGTTGCATCAATCGTTACATCTTAAACCAGATAGTGATCTTATATTTTCCCTCAAGCTAGTATATGTGCTTTAAATTTTTCCACCAAAATAATACACTCTTCTTTAACTTGCTAGCAGCTAGTTTCACCATTCTCTCTGATGGGATATCCTGGTACTAAAAAAAAAGTCTATCGTCTGGAAAAAACTCAATGAACTCGTCCGGATCTAACTGATCGTTAAAATGTAACAAATCCACCTTTAATTCAAAATTTTGACTTCTCAAATATTTTATGTCGTCTTCAGGGTGGAGGCACTTCATCCTTGACATTCTTTTGGTAGAGAATAGTCACTCCATTCATTCGATCTACCAAGTCAACATTGCGGCTATAATTGTGCAAATTGATTCACTCCATTCAACTATTCTCTAATCAATGAAAGAAATCATTCTCTTCATTGTGCAATTTGATTTAATATGCTTAGTTCTGTGGCACTTGACATACTTCCTAGTTGGATAAATTTTAGAAAGAAGGTTGGCTCCACCTATTTTCTACTAAGAATTAGTTTCTCCTCAAACGGAGTCGGTTTGGATACTCCACTGGGTACTTTTGTTGTTCGATCCTGAAGTTGAAATATGTCTGTGAGATGTGGTGGTCATCCAAAAATGTTGTCTATCCACTTTTGAAGCTATGATTTACACATCCTATCTTTAATGAACAAATAGGTATTAGTGCTGCAGCTCTCATTTCATCTTAGACCACATAGTGATCTTGTATTTTCCCTCATGTTGGTACATGTGCTTCAATTTTTTCCACCAAAATAATGCACTCTTCTTTAACTTGCTAGCAGTTAGTTTCACCATTCTATCTTATGGGACATCCTGTTACTCAAAAAAATTTCACAGTCTGGATCAACTCGATGAACTCGTCCAAATCTAAGTGGCTGTCAAAACGTGATAAATCCACCTTTATATCAAAATTTTAGCTTCTCAAATACATAAGGTCAAGTCTTCAGAGTGGAGGTTCTTCATCCCTGAAGTTTGTATGATGGAAGAGATTCATTTTATTTATTTGATCTAGCAAGTCACTATTGGGGCTATGAGTGACTCGTCGGGATGCTTTCCTTTTCTTAATTTCACCGAGCCATTGTAGCAGTCAGCCGAGTTATCATTGTATCTCTTTCATGGTAAACTCATGATAGGTGTCTGATTATTGTCTCTTCAGCAGCATGATTATGGTATAGGTTTGAGTAGGTGAAAAAGAGTGTATAAGGATGATATAGTGTGGAAAAGTGGCTGGTTTAAAAAATCAATAAATTGAAGGATTTTTGTGAGGAGAAAAAGGTGGGGTTAGGTATTGGTGGATGTTCGAAAACTTAACATAAAACTAGGGTTAGACTAGCTCTAATACAAAACAATATTGCAGTTAATCCAAATAATCAATAGATAAGCAAATTTTATTACTGAAAGTAAATATGCATTTACAACCCAAACACACATAGAAGGGAAAATGACATCAGACATGACACATGGATGCTCACAAGGGTAAATCTCGAATGGTGTTGATTGGGTATTGGTGGATGCTAGAAATCCTAGGATAGGACTAGGGTTAGACTGCCTCTGATACCAAATAATGTCGAAATTAACCCATATAATCAATAGGAAAGTATATGTTATTATCGAAAGTGAATATGCATTTACAATACAAACACACTTTAAAGGAAAAATGACACCAAACATGACACACAGACGCCCACAAGGGTGGATCTCGAGTGGTGTTTGTGCTCGTTAAGAGTTTGATAAGGTGGAGGCAAGATAGAGGTGTTGGACAGAGAGACAGCTTACAACAATGGTGGCTTGCTATCCTGGAAGGCAGCAAACAAGCAAAAACGGAAACAGCAAGATTTGCGTTGACTGAGGGGGGTTGACAGCTGGTAGGTACGGTCGGGACAGCACGATAAAGACAATAGCTAGTGATAGGGACAGTTGGGGACTCCTCGCTCTCTGGGATTGTATCAGCAACTCAAAATGCTGGTGGCAGCAGCTGTAAGATAGAAAACCTGCAGGGAAACAACAGCAAGTGGCTGTTAGGGACCGGCTGCAGCAGTGGATGGCGGCCGGAAGCGATGTAAGGAGTATGCAAAAAGGAATAGGAAAGAAAAAGCCGAAGCACCACACAAACCCTTGGATACAGCCTTTGCAGGTAAAAAGAGGGACGCTGGCAGCTGTCTCAAACAAATGTAGGAGGAAATCCACGTAAAGGAAGTCAACCGGCCCTGGAGAACAGTCCAAGCCGCACTCGCCGGTACTGTTGCAGCAGGGATCACAAAACGCCCCTGCGGGTAACTCCTGCGTCAGTGAGTTTACACAAAAATACCACAAAATCCTGACCTTATGAGCAGCAGCTGTAAAGATCGCACAGAATAGCTCCGCTCGCCATTCTAAGGCATAAACTCAATCATTCAGTTTCTGGCTTTAAGTTCCCAACAGATTTAATTCACTTAATCTTATTCCAAAAATATTTGATTCTAACAATCGCAACTTATATTTCCAAGCATATTTTACTGTTGATGTACTTAATATACACTTTTGTTCAAAAATCATCCAACATTTTCTACACGGCACATGAAGATAAGAAAAACTTTTAACTAAAGTTATAAAGTTAAAGAAAAAAGGCAAAAGAAAAAAAAAAAAAAAAAAGCTTAATCACAAGACACTAACGAAGAAAGGGAACAACCCTAAACTTTAGGAGGAGGAGCAACTATAGCATTCCTAATAAAATGAATAGCCTCGGCGACATTAAATGTTGACAAAGCCTGCAGAGTAAAAACCCAAAAATCTCACCTTTGTTCAAACTCAGAGGAAACTGTAGCCTGTTTCAACCTCCAGTAGCAGTACGAGTAGATTCGGCGTCCAGCAATAAAACCAGAGTGGTATACCAAAAGAGCGAGAGCTCGGAGAGAGGAGGAGAGAATGAAGGGGGGAATGGGAGACACGGGCTTTTGAGGAAAAGAGCTTTTCAATTCCATATAGACATATAAAGTACTCTCAATTCCCGTCCGTTGTAGCATGTCGGATTTATTTTGAATTCAGAAGCCGAACGTGAAGCAGGCCTGAGAAATAAACCAATGACGTGGCAACTTCGGCCACTTAATTTGTGGGGTCAGACGGAGAATTATATTCGGTTAAATTCATTTATATTTTTAGGGAAAACCTTTGGTGAAATGTGAGATTCAATGGCATGATAGCTGTTAATCCGGTAAAGGGGATGAATCATATCCAGATATTTAATGGTATTATTCGGAATTTGTTTTCTACCCATGAATTATATCCAGTCTTTCAATACGCAAAATTCTATTTGATTGATTTATAAAAATCTACACAAAGAATGATACTTTAATAACGGATTTTTAATTTTTTCTTTCATAAAACTCATTTCTAATTATATTTGCTTTCTTTTAAAGAATATATAGTTAACCAGATATGATGGAAAAAATGTAGCTTTCACCTGTAGCTTTTAGTTGAAATTTTTTGAGAACACAGGAAAATACAATTTTGACAAACAGGAAAAACTGTGGTGCGACATCACACCGCCACTCCAAACACAACATTAGTCCTTAATGCTACTAAGCTATTGAATTTAATCAAGAGATGCTAATAATCTTGAAACAATTGAAAGAACAAGATAATTTATTGAGTTTATATGCCATGAGCACGCGTTGACCACCAAGAAGTTGTAGCTAAGAAAATTTGCCAAATATAATTCATTTAGAAACTCGTCGCAGGTAGTCATTGCAATATAACCATTCAAAATTGGATTTATCATTCACTATAAAGCTAGCTGCGGTTTGTGAGTTTATAACATTAAGCTTAATCTTTACTTATAAATACGAAGTTAAAGTTTAAGCATACGCATACGAAACTTACACATTAATTTATTAATATTGAACTTAGATCTTATTGGATCCTAGTTTTCATGTGGACCGACACACTCAAAGAAAGGGTTAGAAAACATCGGTTGGAACCAAAAAATAAAGAGTGTTATATAATGTCAGGAGATCAATCCTCTTTCATGTAATGACCACTCTTATTTATAAATGAGTTAATTCATACGTTACAATGTTAAAAATAATATTTTTATTTAAAATGAGTCCCAAAAAATATGATTTTATCTTTTTTGTCTTCTTTTGACGTGGACATTACGATATTCTTCTAATAATGCCTTGCCTTAGTTATTATTTTGCTCAAGTATATTTTCTTCTAGTAGATCATTCTCGTTAATATCTTTGTTAGCTTGGTCAACATTGTGGTGAGCAAGTGAGTTATTTATGTCGAGCTAAAAGAGCTTAATATTGATTACTTCTTAGCAATGTAGTTAGTTGTGTTTCTCATAAATAGTTTACTAAACAGTTTTAGTCACTCCGTGTTATTTGGCTTCGATCTTGAACTACGACCTATGGTTGTATGGTTGGGTTACTTGTCCAAATTGATCTGACCATCTAGTACACTAGCTTGGCAAGCTATAAGACTTCATGCCTCAAATCTAATTCAGGCATTTTTTGTTCATGCATATTTAGTTCTCTAATGCACTTGCATCTTTAGAAAATAATTCTGAAAAAATAAAAGAATGATAATTTCTGTTTTATATTAAAAATATTAACAAAAAATTATTAAATTTAATAACTCGCTTAAATTTAGGTCATTCCACGTGTTATTATCAATATCCCTATTAATGGAGAGGGTTGCCATCAGAATCCTTCTTTTTGTTAATATGTGTTCTTCCTTTGGATTCACTTATTGTGCCTTTAATACTTAAGATGGAGGATATTTTGGAAGTAAAGGTCTCAATTCCCAAGGCAGAATATATGAAAAGTTTGTTCATGACATAAGATAATAAGTGAATTTAAAAAAAAAGAAATGAAGCAATTTTTTTGAAGAAAACTTCTTACCATAATTTATCATATCCCTAATCTCCTGCCCTCAGTGAAAGTCCCATTATTAGCAAATCAGGCACCTGCTGAAGTAGTTCCTATTACAAATCATTTTCAAGCCAACTCATTGGGATGAGTGATATGGTGATTCCGTCACTGATGGACATAATTCAAGTAGTGTGAGTTAATGTTAAAAAATAATAGAAGTGAGCTTTTGAGGTATATAATACTTCTTAATTATTTTCACAACTCACATTTTTTAGCAAATTCATGGTTGACAACTGACACACCAAAACTCACCGTAAAGTTGGCAGTACACGTGCCAAGTAATAATGTTGTTAAAGAGTACCATGTATCATCCCATAAGAAAAGTTTAATAATTATTCCTACAAAAAAATCTCTAGTTTATGAATCCAATGAATCTAGCTTGGTGGTTTCACAAAGGTCTTTAAGTCTTAAGCCTAATGAAACAGAATAGATCGTAAGTAGCAAAAACAGACAAAATGGGAAAAAAAATATTAAGAGTTCTTTCAAGACATATAAGGCTCATGCCTCCGTGATTTGGGGATAGTGGTGATCATGGATATCCTAAATGTTTTCCTGCGTGATTGTTGTCAATTGGGGATATGATACTCCTTATGTCTATGTCTAGGTCATAAGAAGTCTGAAACCCGTGAAGTTGTGGCATCTTCAATCCCCACAGCATCGCGCATGATTATTTGAATCCCCAAAAATATTGCAGAAGTCCACTGGAATTGTTTATTCTCTCAAAATTTTGTGGTGAACCCTTTGTTTCTACTACACACCGATTTGAAGTCAAAATTTCACGAAACAGTTTAACGTTCTAGTTAACTAGGAGTAAATTAAGATCAGAGGTTAAATGGAAACATAGTTCGTGAATGCACGAGAAAAGCTAAAGGAAAAAATATCTCACAAGACCACTAAGAAACCACTACCTCTATATCATAGAGATATGAAGAAAAGACTAGTCATGCTTTATCGGAAAAACTATAGACATAATCCATACAAATATTCACTGCAAGAAATAAGAAAAAGTAAAAACTTATAATAAAACTTTTCTTCTCCACGATAGTAGCACCTTTCTCTCTCATACAAATGTTCTCTCAATAGCTCACAAGAAACTCAAAGGAATCCTCCTCTTAAGTTTTCAATCAAAATGAAGGAGAGAATCCTACGAGGAACATTTTCTCTGATCAAAACTATACCTTTTCTTACAGCTTTCAGCCTCTAACAGATGCCTATGATCGGTTGTATTAGTTAACTTATAGGCATGGCTTGGTAAAGGCAAGAAAATTGTTGACAAAATTAGGTTCTGCTAACTATCATGGATGCAACTCGAAGACAACGTGGGTACGATTGGAACAGATCAGATGTGCTACACTTGAGTGTGGATGCGTTGATGGGTTGAATAGCTGAACGGGTATGAAAGCGAATGGTCTGGCTCAGGTGCTTTAAACTGGGCACAGGGCCACTTTATATGGCGCTCATGCACTTTAGTGAAAACAGGTGCGTCCACTAGATGACATAGGTATGCTAAACTGAAATCCTTATATTATGCTCATTTTTATTCCTTTTCACTTCATTTTTTTCCTTTCACCTGTCACCTACACAATTAAGACAAACATGCCTTTATTAAGCATTTTATAGTTAAAAAAAACAAAGCATGACAAAGTGTGCCATCTAAATGCCACATATTTCACTCATCAAATCTCCTAAACTTATACATTACTTGCTCTCAAGTAAATACTTAACTCAGCTTAGATATTTAGAGGATAAAGGAAATTCTTGAAGCAACCTCAACTTTTCAATTTGTCTTATGAAGTGTAATGGGAAGTGGTAAATATCAACGGAGGATCGATTAGTTTTAAGGCTCAACAACTTAAATTCCACTCTTAACTTTCTTCGCTCCATTCTTCATGAAATTCTAATGATTATCAAACTTAGTGTTTCTTTTATAAGATCTTTTTCTTACCTTGAATGTTTCTGAAGATTATTTGTAGTCGTTTAACCAATCAACTATTACTTAATTTTTTTCCTTAAATTACAACTTAAAAAGGCTTCCATTAATATAACACACAATCTCTATTACTTAAGGTTCACATGACCCGCTTTTGATTTCCTCTTTTCTTTGAATTTTTTTCATGCCAATCTCAAACATCTTCCAAGGTTTTTTCCTTTTTTTACTTTTGCCTTTTTCTTTTCCTTTGTTTTTTTTCTTTTTCTATTCCACTGAGAATTATTATATCTGGTTAGCAACTTTTTCAAAATTATTTTTCAAGATAAAGGTGAGTTTTTTGTCTGAAATAATAAATTTTAACAATGATAATTAATTCCCTCCCTCTAAGTTATATGGATAAAAAACTTAATTTAAAACACAATTGGTTGCTATGAAAAAGAAGAAAGCTCAAGAACTTTTTTGGCTTGCTCAAGAAACTCTAAACTATACTTTTTTTAATAGTCTATAAACTTTCATAAGAAAAGCCTCGTTACTTCTTGTGTTGCCACAACTGGCTTGAAAATGTGCTATATGTTGTCTGGGATTTCCAGATTTCCAGTCCCATCAAATATATCCCATCAAATATATTAAAGTTTGGGGACACAAAACCCTTAGGGAAGGGAACGACATCAAATTCTTTCAGGTAAGGTCTATCCGTTAAAACCAATGCACCACCCTTAGATTGGGTTAAGATCTCTCGAACTTGCTCGAACATTTACTTAGATTCCTTCTCTAGCATGGCGCTCGATGGAGAATCCTTCTTTGGTTGCTCATCCCTATTTGCTGAGGCAACTTATCTTCTTTCATCTGTATATGTATAATTTCTGATTGATTGAACTCTGGAGAGGCTAACTATGGGGGTTGAGATTGTCCTTAAATTGTGGCCATAGCAGTCATGGTTGCGCCCATCTCTTCTATCCTTTTCTCCAGTTGGCTAACTTGCTCATCCCTTAGGAGGATAGCCTACACA